ACCTTCAAGATCCCAAAACACGGATAACATGATAATTCTTGTTGAAGGTTGCATCTTGAATTTTCTCGGCGGTGGTGAGCTTCGATAGGTTGCTTTTCCAGACGTGCTCGCGAACGGTTAATTTAGAAATTAGAAAAAGGTTGCTAAAGGTTGAAGCGCAGCGTTGTACGGGTGCGAAACATGGTCAGTGGGCGCGGCGGAAAGGAAAAGGTTAGAAGCTTTCGAAATGTGGTGTTACAGGCGCATGATGAGGATAACGTGGGTAGAAAAGGTTAGAAATGAAAAGTTATTAGAAGGAATAGGAGAACAGAGGACGCGATGGAAGTCAATAAAAAATAGGCGAGATAGGTTAGCAGGACACCTTCTTAGGTATGAGGATCTAGTCAGAGACATATTAGAAGCATAAACAGGAGTTAGGAGAGGTAGAGGTAGACCTAGGTTAGATTACTGTTCACAAATAGTTAAGGATGTGGGTTGTTCTAGTTTTAGGGAAATGCGAAGATTAGCTCAGGATAGGAACGAGTGGAGGTACGTGTCCAACCAGTCTTAGGACTGACGACCTTATGGTAATGATGACTTCATTTAAAAGAATTTGTGCTGAGTAAAAGTTAATTCTGGTTCGACGAATTGCCAGCATAGTTGATGACTGCAAAGGTGCATGTTTCTTTTTTGAACCTAAACAGAATTCCTTCATATTTATACGTCTAGTTGCGACCGCGTTTAATTTTGTGCTGTACTTATATATATATATATCTCATTTTCTGCAAATTCCTTCTAAAAAGCACATCCATATCTTAAGCAGCTCAGTCCTGGTTTTACCTTAAATAGGATTTTCAATGAATGCAAAATCCTTTTAAGGCACGTCAGTTGCGCTCCGAATTAATCTCTATTTAAACACCGCTCAGACTTTGCAGCATTAAATTGACTGTTTGTGAATTTATTTATACAAGGGGAAATTTCTTAATATTCTATGCTCTTTTGAAGCACTCTTACGAAGATAGTGGAATTCAAGTACACTTTTAGGGCCCAATATATGGATACGTACACGCAGCACTTAAAACGATGAGTTGAAGCGTATAAATGGATTTGTAAATGAGAAAAAGAAGCGAGGGTCTAATTAATGCACTTCTTATCTACAGTAATATAAAATTACTATTAATGGTAGGGACTGTCTACCCCGTCAATTTTACGTACGCGTACATGGTGGATGTGCAATTTACAAAACCATGTCTGAAGTTGGAGTAGCAAAAATTCTCGCGCTGCCTACTTCTTTTTTTTTGAATATGTTCCAAGATCGCAGAACTGCCAGATATTAATAATTTTCTGAGTAACAAAATTGGTGGAATAGAGCAGCGTTAGTATGAACTTTGAACGTATGCATATGTTCCTGGAAATGTTTGAAATATATTCAATTCCGAGGCTATTTAGAAATTTCCTAGGAATTTTATGAAATTCCGATATTGTACTAGAAAATGTATAAAACTGATGCTTTCTGCGAATAAAATGAATAAAACACGTTAATAAACTGAGAATCAGAGTAATCTGTGTTTACGCACTTCTGGTGCGATCGCCTGATGTATATGCATTGGTGACGTTATTGTTAGGTTGGGTTAGGTTTGGAGATGTATATGTATTAGTGGCGTTATTGTATGGTTATTAGGTAGATTTATGACATATATTGTAGTTTCTTTAATGCTCCTGTTCGTCGGAGGTAGGCTGATATGTTGGAATAATTTCTTCGAAAAGTATGCTTCATTATGATCTCCGCACCCAACATATACATATATATAAAAATGATCTGCATTATCACCTTTACAGCATACTAAAAATTCAAGGTCATTGTGTTTGCTGAAACAAAGATAACCTCGTCATATTATTCCAACATCTAACATATCAGCCCGTCTCCGGCGGGAAGGAACATTCAAGATACTCCGGTCTGTCAGAAATCTCCCTAACCAAATAATGACGTCACGAATGGATATAGGTATATCTCCAAACAGCCTGCCGTAGTATTGCCTCTTTAGTATTACCTGCAATACATTTTTGATTGTTATTTAGGAAATGTATAGATTTCCTAGGAAATGTGATTAATATAATTTATTTCACACATTTCCGGACGATTTTAGGAATTAAATAAATTTCCTAGGAATTGCATATAATGAAGGATTACACATTTCCGGCTAGCTTGGGCTGACGGTCAATTTGAAGATATTAAGTGCTAAAGGTACGTAAAAATATTACTTTTCTTAAAATCTGAGTGCTGATTTTTACATAATGTTTCACAGGATATTGTTAAAAATTAATAATAAAAGCTTCCAGTCACTACCCATCGGCGGTAATCTCTCCCAGACGCTTCAAAGTTCGGGAAAAAGCTAATCGTAATTTTACTTATAGTCTCAGGCTTTATGTTTAAATGTGATACTTAGGAAACTGTATTTCTATACTTTTTGTAAGCAGCCAGGCCAATTGTAGGAGTTAAACATTCCCCAGACACTATTTTTAAAATGTCGCTGTGTTATTATGAAGCCACCTAATTAACGCGCTTGGGCTTACACTCACAGCGACATATTAATTATGTCTGGGGAATGTTTGACTCCTACAGTTGGTTTGACTGCGCTTACAAAAAGTATTAAAATAGTTTTCTAAGTATCATATTTAAACATAAAGCCTCAGGGTATAAGTAAAGTTGCAACTTTTTGACGTGACAACGTCTTATAATTCGATGGAGCCGGCTGCACGCACGAAAAAACATGACTCATGCGGCGTTACCTCGCTCTGAGGCGTTCCATTTAAGGCTTGAAGTGCAAGCGAGAGCGCGGAACGAGCGACAAAGAGGCACACTCGGCCTCCGCGTTCGGCAGCGTTCGACATCTGTCTCTCTCCTACTTGAGTGAGCGATGCGTCCGCGTGGACAGCTGCTATACAATAATACATTTTCATTTACCTCCTTCTCTATATGCATACAAAATATCTATCAAACAAATAAAATTAAAATTTTCTTTTGAAAAATGAAACCATTCCATCAGTATTTTCTAATGACGTTGTCACGTTCAACTATCGTCAGTAAACCGACTTTACAGACAACCGATTTTTTGCGAAGCTTGTAGCGTCTGGCAGAAATTACCGCCTATGGGAAGAGTCTGGAATGATAATGATTAATTTTTTACATACTTTTAGCACATAACATCTGCAAATTGGCAGTTAGCCCAAGTTAGCAGGTATGCATGCGTTCCAAGTACATACTAACACAATTCTATCCCATCCATTTTGTTACTCAGAAGATAAGTAATGTCTGGCGTATCTGGGATCTTACAAAATCTGGAACTCCTATGTTTTATTAATAAATTAATAAACTCTATAAATCTGTTACGACTTAGTTTACAAAACCATGTGATCGTAGGGTGAAAAACCACGTTTTATCTTGGATTATAAACTTAAATCAGGAAAAATATTACATTATAATTGCAGTAGATTTGAATGAGGGTGATAACTAGTATTTTGCCATTTGTTTTATGACTTTGATGGGGTAAGAAAACAAGATAAACACTTACTGGTGAATTTTCACCCCATAAACATTGTGAAAATTATATGGAGGATAAAAAGGAAACAATAGGCGCCGACCTGTGAGAAAGTGCTACATCAGATTTTTTTCTGTTTTAATAAATCCGATGGTCATGCTGCAGTTACAAAGTTACCTTCATATGGTAATTCTGGTATGCACAGTACAATGAGACACAAATACTAAAAACCCTGGCGTCTGAGATATTAAATACTTCAATTACAATTCACAAAAAAATCGTAATAAATGTATCAAATGGGGTCGGGTATTGTAAACTGTAAGTTTTCATTCTCACCTTTTCATAGGTGGTAAAAAAATATTGTTATTGCTCAAGATCCAGATAACCTGCTATCAGAATGCAGTTTATGGTAGATTAACGTTTTTGTCCTTGGTTCAAGTTCATAATTCAAGATAAGGGATAGTTTTTCACTGTGTAGCCAACTGTTTTTGTAACAGATTTACCGTTTATTCATATTAATAAAACTTAAGGAGTTCCAGGTTGTTACCAATTACTGGAGCCTTTGTCTGACTTAATATTGTATAAGGGTAGTTCTCATTTCGTTTATGTAAGCGTTAGCCAACTGTTTTACTCATATGTATTCAGACTGGGGATTTATTATCATTCATCATCATAAGATCATCAGTCCTAAGACTGGTTGGACACGTACCTCCACTCTTTCCTATCCTGAGCTAAACTTCGCATTTCCCTAAAACTAGAACAGCCCACATCCTTAACTATTTGCGAACAGTAATCTAATCTAGGTCTACCTCTACCCCTCCTAACTCCTGTTTCTGCCTCTAATATGTCTCTGACTAGACCTTCATGCCTGAGACGGTGTCCTACCAACCTATCTCGCCTATTTTTTATTGACTTCCATAGAGTCCTCTGTTCTCCTATTCTTTCCAATACCTCTTCATTTCTAACCTTTTCTACCCACGATATCCTCATCATCCGCCTATAACACCACATTTCGAACGCTTCTAACCTTTTCTTTTCCGTCGCTCCCACTGTCCATGTTTCACACCCGTACAACGCCGTGCTCCAAACATACACCTTTAAAAACCTTTTTCTAAATTAACCGTTCGCGAGCATAGAAGTGACTTCATCATTAATAAATAATTATTTGGAACTTAGTTTAAAGTAAAATTTGAGGGCGAGGAAACGGACGATTTTTGAGCTATTTTTGCGATAACTCTTTTCTTTCGTGATTTGTACCTACACTTAAGATATATGTGTATAAGCGCTCTTGATTCTCAGATGATTTTAAATGTTGGTAAAGTAACAGTAAAATTTAATATTGCAGGTTTGCAGCGCGTTAATTTGCCTGTCGTTGGCACTTTGACTGTGAACACACGGGACATCTTCAGGACTGTAGATTAATTGATTCAATTTCCTGAAGCCTAGTGTAAAATTAGTTTTAGGTCTAGTAATCTAGCAGGTTTTATTTTTAAATACTTATTACACTGACGTTTCTCTGTTTTGTCTTTGCACGTTAATCGAGTCATCTAAGACAGACGGGGTCAGCAAGAGTCTCACATCTAGAGTTCGTTTCCACCACTGATACCACGGCACCACTTGGTCCTTGATCATTAAATACAACGTTATCAAGTAACCAACAACGACAATGCACAGAAAAAATATGATCGCTCCTTTCGTCCAATTCTTCGATATTCCGATCTTTTCGCCTTCGATCTCGAAATAATGAATTCCCAGCAGACAAACAACTATCAAACCTACGGTGACAATAGTGAGCAAAACTAATATCAGCACGTCAGACTGAATATGGGTTCGGTTTCTCGGATGCATTATCCACATCCGTATTCCTTCTATCAGACCGTACCGTTGCGTTTGCACTGCGTTGTATTGATACATACACAATTCGCAATAATTTCTGCTCGACTGATTCAACCATCTTTCTAAGCACGACAGATGAACATAAGCTAACGAACCTTTACAATAACAAGGGGAGATGAGAGCCTCGTGGACTGTGTTTGTATGGCAAATTCTACACACCAATGAAGAAATTGACGTCACAATACTCGAAGGATTCTGATTGTTCGACTCGTCTTCGGATTCGGCACGAATCGATGATGAAATTTTGTCATTACCCGTTGCTCTTACAGGACGATTTTCTGTTGCAGTAACTTCTTGCATTGCACTTTCAGACTTTGGGATCTGGGAGTGACATTCCTCACTGACAATTTTTACTGTCAGTAATATTTAAATAAATTCTGGAATATTTTTGTTTAGTTAATGTAATTGTCTGCATCTTTATTCAGTGCTCACTGAACCAGCATTGACGGTTACTTTCGTCATCAAAACTGACAAATAAAATTTTGTAAATTTTCTGAAACCAGACTTTAAAATGTTTAAGAATTTCAATAAAGTGTGTGGTATTTATACAAAACGAAATTGTTCTATTGATACCGATTGTACACTGTTGACATAAACTTTATATACACTAACATAAACTACAAAAAAATATTATGAATTGGTTTATACATACATAATGTCACATTAACGTCAATGTCAAGAAGATTTGCCAAGAAAAATGGAAAGAATGGAGTTACAACAGTTAAAGAAGTTATAATGTTGGAATAAGTACCAACAATCATTTTTTATTATTCTAACAGTCTAATTAGAATTCATAAGCAGAACATTAAAAAAAGTTAAAGAGAATTAATCTCTTCCACAAATAGGTTAATAAATAAATAAATTAAAGATTTTACAGCAGCGACCGCGATATCTAAAGTTGTATTACTGTTAATCTGTGATTGATCAAGTGTTATATTCTTTAAAATATTTAAAAATTTATTTCGGGTGTTTAATTTTATTTTGTTATTATCATCATCATGAGGTCGTCAGTCTTAAGACGGGTTGGACACGCACCTCCATTCTTTCCTATCCTGAGTTAATCTTCGCATTTCCCCAAAACTAGAACAACCCATATCCTTGACTATTTGCGAACAGTAATCTCATTTAGATCTACCTCAATGTTCGAGTCGAGTTTTAACGTCTGCTTTTTTTGAAATAATAGTTTCTTTAAGAATCAAAATCTTTTGTTTCGATTTCGAGAAGGGTTTCATTTGTGCCTAAGCGTAAAATAGTGTTATGGATGGCACTGTTATAAATCATGAAGTAAAAAGGGTAAACAATAAATTGGTCAGGGTTGACAGCAAGAAGGCTGTCATAAGTTCATGTCTTGTAATGCGCAGGTCCATCGAGGACTCAAAGCGATCCATTTTATTTACCCATAAATGTAAACTGGGTCAGATGGTGAAATCTGGGACTATTGTGTCTACCAGAACCACCCCCAGTGGTAATGACCAATGAAGCTTGTCATCCATAATATTTAGGAAGGGACTCCTACACTCCACCCCCTTTATTTGCATAGTTAAGTTTATTTACGTCTTAGTTTTAAGTTTCTAAGACAGATTCAGACTCAGATCATGTAAAGCGAAGAGATTCAGATCATGTATAGTGTAATTAAAAGTGTACAGTAGTTGTAAGTTCAATATAAATTTCCACAAGTTAAACGTTTATGCGTTCTTATCTCAACTAAATGCACTGCTAATTAGTTTTGGTGGTGCCGCTTTATTCTGCCCTACTGATAAGTATCAGCAGGATATTGCCGAAAACGAGCCCTTACAAGGCGACGAAACACTCAAACCCCTCTTCACTCCCGTTTCTGACTATAAACTGTCTCTGACTAGACTTTTATGCCTGAAAAGGTGTCCTACCAACCTATCTCGCCTATTTCTTATTGACTTCTATAGAGTCTTCTGTTCTCCTATTCTTTCTAATACCTCTTCATTTCTAACTTTCTCTATCCACGGTATCCTCATCATTCGCCTGTAACACCACATTTCGAACGCTTCTAACCTTTTTTTTCCGCCGCGCCCACCGTCCATGCTTCGCACCCGTACAAAAAAAAATGGTAAATGGTTGAAAAACATATATTCCACACGTTCTCCCAATTATGCATTTTTGCTCGTTCGACATAAAATGAAAAAAAGCTGATAAAGAAATATGGAATTTCTATGCTCGGTAAACATTTTGCTTTGTCTGTAAGTATACAAAATCCATCTGCAGAAATTAAAACTGTAACCAGTAGTTATAAATGTCTACAGATGGCGGTACATGCAGTAGATTCTGCGATATGCTTGATATTGGATCCAAAGCCATCAATGCGAAACGTTTGCGGGTACACTTTTAATATCATACTAACAACCAGAAAACGGCTTTATTTATAGCTATCCTTGCCATATTATATTTATACGACTTACACGATACACAAGTTTATTAGTTGATCGTAAGCTAGGGTTTTAAATTGATTACATGTCTGGCAAAAATTGAGAAATAGAGTTTTATTAAAACCAAAGATTTAAACTTTTAATAGTAAGAACAAGCGAAACGGAAATTCAGCGTAATAAAAATTTAAAGTTGAACAGAAGCGATAAAATTGATTTTGAAAATAACATGCAATCTTGCGGAGTACTGGCGTAGGTACCTACGATTGAATCACCTTTTCGAAGTTAAGCAGACCGAAATAAGTGACTTACTGAAACTTTAAAGGGAACTTTACCGCTCCTATTCTTCAGCCATAATTCTCCTCAGTGCCTTTATTCCAACCTTTAATCCGCGCACATACTCCAGAAGGATTTACGTTACCAAATAACTGGTAATTTCAAGAATGTAGAGCTATAAGCCTTTAATACTTCTTTCCTATAATTTTCAACACAATTAAAATAATTTAGGTGTGCATCTATTCGGAACAGTTACACGTTCATTGAAATTATATATAGGGACAAGTCTTATCTTTTGTTAACAATGAGACATCTTCAGAAGATCTGTAGTAGGGTTTTTAATACATTAAAGTGAATTAATTTTTACCACTACAGATAACTACGAATTAATGAGGAAATCTTCGAACCAATGATTCTGTGACCTGCATAGTTAGGCAAAGATCGTTGTTGTTGGTACTATTAGTGGCTTACAGGTAGAGAAATGGTGCGTAAAGCCAGGGGATCCGGGCTCGACTTTCGGCGAAGGCGTCACACTAACAACAATTTTTCCCCATTAATCTGAGGTTATTTACAGTGGTAAACATTAATTCAAAAGTTAATTCACTGTAGCGTATCCCTGATAGCTACTCGTGATATGATCATGAATGGATCAGACGATTTTGAAAGCAGATTAGGATCAAAATTGAAACATATGTTCCTCACTCAGCGAATAAAAATATACTTATATTAGTAAATAAATGATCAAATTTAGGAAATAATAATCAGTAAACTAGTTGCTGAATATACCGATTGTACACTGTTGACATAAACTTTATATACACTAACATAAACTACAAAAAAATATTATGAATTGGTTTATACATACATAATGTCACATTAACGTCAATGTCAAGAAGATTTGCCAAGAAAAATGGAAAGAATGGAGTTACAACAGTTAAAGAAGTTATAATGTTGGAATAAGTACCAACAATCATTTTTTATTATTCTAACAGTCTAATTAGAATTCATAAGCAGAACATTAAAAAAAGTTAAAGAGAATTAATCTCTTCCACAAATAGGTTAATAAATAAATAAATTAAAGATTTTACAGCAGCGACCGCGATATCTAAAGTTGTATTACTGTTAATCTGTGATTGATCAAGTGTTATATTCTTTAAAATATTTAAAAATTTATTTCGGGTGTTTAATTTTATTTTGTTATTATCATCATCATGAGGTCGTCAGTCTTAAGACGGGTTGGACACGCACCTCCATTCTTTCCTATCCTGAGTTAATCTTCGCATTTCCCCAAAACTAGAACAACCCATATCCTTGACTATTTGCGAACAGTAATCTCATTTAGATCTACCTCAATGTTCGAGTCGAGTTTTAACGTCTGCTTTTTTTGAAATAATAGTTTCTTTAAGAATCAAAATCTTTTGTTTCGATTTCGAGAAGGGTTTCATTTGTGCCTAAGCGTAAAATAGTGTTATGGATGGCACTGTTATAAATCATGAAGTAAAAAGGGTAAACAATAAANTTCAAAACTTTTCCATTTAGTTTGATCTAGGGTTATTATTTACTTTATTTACATTTCAAATTTCTTTGTTCAGTTCAACTTCAAACATTTCTTCAAACATTTTAGGTCATAAATTCCTTTCCTTTATTATCTGGTTTTATAATATTTGTGAGTAATTTCATTGTCATGCAGACAAAATGTACGTGATAAATTCAATAATTCCTGGTAGCATAAATGAGGTTTTTCTGTCACTAATACCTGGCTCATTGTTAGCTCTTTCATACTTGTTTTTAGATCTTTTCTGTATCTAGTTGAAGTCAACACCCTCTCGTCTATGACGACATTCAGGAAATTCCTACATTTATCAACCACCAGAATATCTTTCATTTAGACTCCACCCCCTTTCTTAGTTGTTCTCTAGTTTTAAGTAAATTTAATGTTGTTAGTTATTATGTAAGAAACATTCTCATTAAACACATTGAATCAAATTCGCTATTAGTTTTATTTAAAACATTCTAGTAGAACGGGAGTTCAGAAACGCAACTTCCGAGTGGTCTTCGGATAATCTCACGACTGCACAGCGAGCTAATAATTCAAGTAATCAAGACCCAGGCTATGAAGATCTAATAAATATAGATTCAATAGAGAAGCTGGATATTATCAATCACATATAATCCACCATCCAGGAAAAAATTAATAATAATACAATATCCTAGTAAACATTTCCTAAATATGACGTAAATGTGGCTATCGGGGATGTTTTGTATTGACTATATCAGTGGGGAGTAAATTACCTCTTTGTCTTTCCTTGATTCCACCAGTAGTAATTTAACTATTACTTCTAACTACATATATTTGTGTCAAGTTACAGTCGTTTAAATCAAAAGTTTAGCCGCGTCAAAGTGCATGATAGTCTCGAACATGTGTTTGTTGATGAGCGATCCGAGGAAACACCAGAATGTACGTCTGTACGAACGTATGTTTCTGTGTGTAGCAGTAGAATCTTTGAGCGCAACTTGCAAATCTTCTTGAATATGCCGAAGTTCCAGGTGAACGGGTAATAATGCGACAAGGCACTTTACAATCTACGGTGCATTAATTATTATTCGTAAAGGAAACTTCTTAGAAACTTTAGGAATTTATGCTCGTGCAGTAAACTGCTGGTAACTTTAAAAGCCTCTCGTAAGCACATGTTCGTTAAATGACAAACACTGTAGGGCTTACACAACGAACTCTCCTACGTTATTTAGCTCAGTAGACAGTTATTCGGGCGGAAGGCATAAAATGAAAAAATAAAACAAAAGAACTGTTAAATCGCATCGCATCCCATCATTTTTCCATCCCTTCGAGTTGTAAACTTGCTATTTTTCTTTATATCCTCACATTATTATTTCGTTAGTATTGTCCACTTAACGAAAGGTACACACAATGAAAAGATAGATGTGTGCCGATTGCCCCCTTCTAGTAGCAAATAAACAAATA